TTTTTCACCAGCCCAAGCCTCGGGAGTGCACAAAGGAGGCCTCATGCCTCATCTTTGTTCAGCACTGCCCACATTGCTTTGCAGGCTCAGCGTGCTCAACCTTTGCTTTTGGCCTGGTCCTTCGTGGGAGGCCAGAGCCCTGTTTCATTCCAATTTTTACGGAATGCTGGACCGGGTAGTTTATATTGCGGTGCGTGACAAGGTGGCAGATGTATGCATGCGTCATGTGAGTCAGTCCTGCCCTGAACATGGCCTGAGGTACTCCAAGCATCGAAGAAATGCAATCCAGATTGAACTGGAGGAGGAGGAGGTGGTGCGTAAGTTCACGCTTTGCTTCATTTACAGTATCTACTTCGAAGGCCATATGCTAACATTTTTGCTACTTTGAGATGCTCTTTTCATGAACAACGGGCTTGTGACAGTTGCAGGAGCTGCCTGAGGGAGACTACTGTGCGGTCGTGCTAGATGAGACCACACCCCCGCAAGATCAATGGACCCAAGTCTCCCAAGATACCAACAAGAAGCTCAGAGACACCCTTTTGGCAGCTACTTGCCTATACGTTTGTGCTTCATGGTGCAGCGCTGTTTTTGGTAACGTAGCATGTTCCTGAACCTCTCACATTGGCAAAGGTTGTCTCCTACATCCTTCCCGTGGTCGGGCCGGCGTTTGCGCCACACGTCTTCAACTCGTGCGAGCGTGAACGCTGGGTGCTTCGAATATTTTTCAACCATTGCCTGGGCATGAGCTCGAGGTTTTGGCAGTGGAAGAATATCCTGGCAGTGCCTCTTGGTGGCAAACATATTGGACGAAATTAGCATTTTTGTATATTTTTGTTGGTCACTGCAGGGTCTTGAACATCACCGCAAAATGCTACTTGAGATGGCAAACAGCTTGAGCCTGGCACCGGGAGATTTCTCAGGAACCATTATCTTCTCGGAGATGAGCGCCAACTCCTCGAGCTGATGCAGGCAGTTCTTGTTTTGTGAAGCAGCTCCGACTGAGCACAGCCGAAGTTTTGGTTGGTGAACGCGCAGAAGTTCATCTTCAAGGATGGATCAACGCGATATTTAAAGAAAATCCTAAAAATCTAGAAACCAAATCACTAGTGCGAGCGCTTCTTCAAGGAAGCTCCCCCCGCCCTCAGGCGGGGGCGCTTCCTTGAAAACGTGTGAGCTATCCTGTATCCATATGTAGTAGCTTAAGTATATAGCTAGGATCTTACTCCGTTACTAAATGAAGTAGTAGGCGCCGGCTTGATTAAGTAACGAGGCAGGGTTATGGGCCCCTTAAAAAGGGATTTTGCAAAGACCAAGCACGTCGAAGAGCCAGAGGGCTGTACTGGGCCGCCTAGCCGCTAGCCTTAGCCACAATTGGCGCGAGAAATTGGCAGGATTCTCCTCAAGCCTCATCGGCACATCCTGCGCTAGCCAGTTTCAGTCTGTCAACATAAGTTTGAGACTTGGGGAGAGGCTAGAAAATATGATGTTCAAACAGGTTTATTTTGTTTCTATTTTTTAAATATGAACATTTTATGAAGCGCATTTATGAACAAAAAAGTATTGTTTTTTATTTATATATAATTTATGATTATTTTATAAACATTTTATGATTTGTCGTGAACAATTTTTATGATTTTTCATGGACGCAACAAATGTTCATAAAAAGTTCATACAACATCATAAAACTTGCGATGTTTTTACGTTCTTTTGGGGATTCTCAACAATCGTACAAAAAATCATTTCAACACTCATAAATGTATGAACATTTTATGAAAAACTATGTTTATTTGAACGACAATTTTATGAACACATTTATGAACAGAGTATTTTATGATTTTTCCGATTTTCTGAGTTGGTGAACATCCATAAAAGAAGCATAAATAAAGCATAAAACAAGCATAAACTAATCATAACATAAATCACAAAAATCATACACATTCATTGACATTTTATTAAAAAATCAACACATTCATAAAAATGGAATCTCCAAAAACTGAGGACCAATTAGTTTTAAAAAAAAGAAATAGACACACAATTCTTTGGCTGTCTTCCTGAGTCTCGAACATAAGTGCCTTTGTGCCACATGATCCTTTTGATACAACCATCCATGTCTCCGATCACGTCCGCTCAAGACTTGGCGACCTGCAGTTTCGTTGGTGCATCTCGCAGAAACTTGTCCAAACCCTACATAAGTGCCAGCATTTGTATGCAACACCTTTCGCAGCAGTTGGATTCCACATTACATCAGTTGGAATTGTACTTGTATAGATTTTTCTGTGTTGCGGCAGGTCACCCTCACACCAGCAACCAATGGAATCGCCTTGACCTTGGGCTGCATGATGTCCTTGTTATGCTCAGATAGTGTCTCAGCCAAGATTCAGCATGGGCGCACCAAAGAGGTGATTGCATCGCTTTCCATCGCCTTTGGCACCTTGACCTCCCTGACCATTTCTTCATTGCGGCAGCGGCAGAAAGAGATCCGGCACCACGGATGCAGCACAGGGCGGGTCACCTTTGTCCTTGCCTTGGTTCGGGGGTTATTTAGTCACCCTAGTCCTTGAGAAAAGGTGGTTCAAACAAAAGTCTGGACGAACCATGTGCAACCGTGCTATTTTTTTCAAGATATTTTTTGTCATTCTGCTCCCAACTGCCTAGTGTGAATAGCTCTTGGCGAAAAAATACATTTCTACAGATGAGCAAAGAGATTTGAGCTCAGCATTGGGTCCTTTCTTTGACGCCACAAGGGATCAGTGACTTGTGACTTACTTGCTTTTTACTTTGAAAACCACCCCACTGGCTTGAGCTTTCTCTGAGGCAATGCTTGAACAAAGAGGCTCGTGACGGCTCGTTGGATGCGTCAAAGGCCTTTGAGGGATTGTACTTCGGAGTTTAGAGCCAATGGCAGGCCTGTGATATCCGCCTTTTGCAGGCTCGGCATTTCTTGTACTTCTGAAACTCTCACAACACTCCAGCAAACTTCTCCAACAAGAATGGGAGGCTTTGTTTGTTTCACTATTTCGCCCTGAGCTCACGCCATTGTGAACCATGGTCGCGTAGTCTGAACATTTTTCTCATCCAAGTTTGCATAGCTTCTCAATCATGTTGATACCGGCCCACCATTGCTTGCTCACAGACTGAAGGCCTTAGCGTGGACAAGCGCTGTGGGGAGCGTCGGGCCCTTTTTCATTGCATTTGAGTTTTCTCATATTAATGCACCTGCCGAGCTGCCCCTGGTGACCTTAATTAAAGCTAAGTTGAAATTTGCAATCGACAAAATAATATAATGTTTTCCCTTGATATTTTCGTGATAGCTGCATTGATTGTGACAAGCAAGGTTTACACATGGAGGAGGTGAGCGTCTACCTTCGGTGTCTGGACCTTTTGCAGATGTACGCTGTGCAGACCTGAGAAACCACTGGTTGAATTTGTCACCATGCCACGACGATATCCCAAGCCTTTTAGGCACGCGTTCACTCTGAATCAACATCGAATGCCGACCTTGCTGCCCTGCAGCGGCAGACCGTGTCTGGTCCCTTGCAACAGCTAGGCTAGCTAGGCCAAGGCAGTGGTGCCGCAGTTTGTTTCCTTCAATGTCTTTGAGCAAGTGGAAAAAACACACAAGGCCAGACACAGAGCTCTTGGGCGTTCTGGACTCGCTGATAGTGATTCAACAGCCTCCTCGATTCTCTGCAGATCACCAAGCTACAGCTAGATCAGAAACTTCCAGGAGCTGTGTGCATTGCCCATTGTGGCTCATTTGGTAGAGCCAGTCTGACCGGGTTTTCAGATGCGTCCAGTAAGGTCATGTCTGTTCGAGATGACGTGGCTGTGAGGGTTTCGCGATTGAACGATTTTCGTTCAGACCGCTTGTCCTCACTCAACACTGCGCAACGCTCCCGGATCACCTAGCTGCTAGCTGTAGCTGGATGATGCATGCTGTTTGTGCTTGGGATGTTGATCCTCTTAAGTTGCTCAAAGCCTCAAAGCTGCGTCTGAGGTTTCCACCACTACATTGGGTCGTCTTCCTGGATGTCAATGGTAGATGATCATCAGTTAAGGATAGTTAAGGTGCATGAACTTGCATGGGCACACAGGTCATTCTCGGACTCCTCGCATCCTCGATCACCTTGTGCTTCCTCATCGAGGCACATTTGGCCCTCACAGGATTGCAGTTGGTTCTTTAGATCTACAAAAAGATGCCAAATGTGTTACTCAATATCTTCCAGAGGACCAGATCCTTCCAAGGTGGATCAATCTGAGGGGCGCTTCTTGGCGGAGAAGCCGGCAGACTCTTTGCGCGCCAATCCGAGAGCAGGATGTCTTCCGCCAATAAGCATCAATGAGCGAAAGCCTCGACTGCAGCTTGAACACAACGCATGACCGTGTTGGTGAGGCTTGCGCATGGTGTTCACCCTCATGACCGGCTCTTTCTGTGGTCTCACTGCCCTTTGTGCAGATCTCAACGACCTTTTCCGAGGCCCATTTTTAAACACCATGACTGTGGAGTCAATTGCCGCCCCGCGTTGACAGCAGGTAGCTTCAATATCAATGAGAGTGCTTCGCAGTTGAAGGTGGTTGAAAAGGCCAGTGGCGAGAGGAAATGGAAAAAACAAGGTAGTGAAAGAAGAGAGGTCCAAAAAACAACAGAAAGACAAAGGACAAAAGAAAGATAGGAATGAAAGGCAATTTTCTTCTTCCCCTCACAGCCCCGCAGCTGGGCCTAGGTCATCCGCTATGAAAACTGCCAACTCCTACAAAAGGTTCAGGCCGAAATTCCCTGCGCACCTTACTGGTCAAATCATATTTGCGCCACGTGGCAGCTGACAGCACTGCAAGGCATTTCAAGATCAAAGAGGCCAAAAACATGCAATGACATTTGACAGTAGCTAGCAGCCCTGTGAAAGACGAGAGCAGCGTGAAAAAAATGGGCTGCTGCAGCGAGCAAGAGACAGCGAGAAAGATGACATGCCTCAGTTAGTGCGCTATGCTTGAGCCTTGAGGCGAGCATCCTGCCGAAGCCCCTGAGGTTTGCAAGATGTGACTGTACTTTAGACGATGTTCCTTTCTATATTTTCTTCTGCGCACACAGCAGAGGCGCGGTGTGGGCCGAGGTGACAGACTCTCAGTCCACGGCATTGCAGATGCAGCTATCACAGGCGTGCATTGGTGCTTTTGTCAGGCAACCCAGTAGCGAATAGGCCCAGGCCTTTCTACTCTGTGCAGGTGCAGCAATCATGCATGCGGCAGCTTTGCCACCCAGAGAAGCAGAGCACCATACGAAGATCATACATGTCAAGCCAAAGCAGGGAAGACAAAGACGGGCTTGTTAGTGCTTGAGTCACTGGAGTCGCTAGTCGATGCCTACTTCAATCTGCATATTGCCTGAGCTGCGGGTGGGTCCTAGGCGGGAGCTTCTTATTCGAGCTGTGCGCAAAGGCGCGCAGCTGGAGGAGCTGGAGTGAAAAGACACACGACATGACTGAAAGTGAACATGACTGAAAGAGAGAGAAAGCGAGAGAGAGAGAGAGAGAGAAGAGTGCGCCCGCACAGGGCTAGCCTGAACAGCGTCAGGACAAAGTCAATTCCCTGACTGATGAGGTCATCAAAAAGGATGTAATCCGCTCAGAATTGCTTAGCTATGTGTTTGATTTTGATTGCTGTCCAGCTATGCCTGAGGTCGTAATACACAATTTGCGACAAGACCTGTCAGGCTCGGCACTGGAGCAGGACGCCTTGAGTTCTCCAAGACCTGTTTTGTTGCTTAGAAAAGGCCAGCAGCAAGAATTGAAGCAGCCGATGCCTAAGTTCTTCCTACAAATTCAGCCTCACGACACTTGCGACTTACATTGAGTGATGCCATGGGGCCATAATGAGAGTTGAGAGTTGGTGCTACGGATGGGCTCGCGTGTAGAAATTCAGAAACCTCAGGCAGCAGCTTCAATTTGAGCAGCACCTGCAGCAGATGCAGCAGCAGCAACTGCAGCAACAGGCCTTGTGAGTTGCCGTGTGGCTATTGTTTGGAGGTTTGACATGTTCCACGGGCCAACTGTGCCACAATTCTGGCACACCCCTTGGCACCATATGATAATACGTATGTTTATTTCTTGTGCGGCACGTGCTACATCGTGCTACTGGCTGCCAGGCGTGCCAAATTCAGGAATTGCAACTCTTGCAAATCCAACGCTTGTGCTGCCGGCTGATCTTTTAAACGTTTGCTCTTCTTTTTAAAAATGTCGTCCATTCAGAACAGATGGATAAGGCTTCGAGCTAACACCATAACAGTTACACCTCATATTGCCAGGCAAAAGGCAGCTCAGACTGAACAAGAGGCTAGGCGATTGATGATGGATAAGAGTTCTTTCTTTCCGAATTAGAAATGCCCAATGGTCGAAATGCAGGCTCTGTGTCTTCCTCTTGAGCCGTCCTTCGGTTCTTCAACGTTGGCTGCTCAGGACAAGGTTTGTACGAGTCCTCTGGTCATGTTGATGCGTCTCGGAAAGTCGATACAACCCTGCATGCGCGCGGGGAATGTGTGCCCACTAGCAGCAATAACATGTTGCATAATCATAATCAGATATAGTCAGCCCATGCCGGCAGGTGACATGTTTGCTGTGCAGTATTTCGATGCAGTATTTTGCCTGGAAGATGTTGCGCTTGTCCTATTTTGGGACTATGATGCCAATGGAGTTGCAGTGACAACTGCGGCAGCAATACGGGCCTGGCAACGAGCTGCTCCTTTGCTAAGGACAGTCGTATCTGATCAGTTGGCGGAAGTCACTGGGTGCGTGTGTTTCGGATCGCTAGTAGGTTGGAGGGCATCGCTGGTAGGTTGGAGGCCGTTTGCTTGGGACTGGAGTGCTGCGCGAGGGTCTCGGACGGGGTCGCTTTTGCGTCATACAATACTGCGCAGGTAGTGCAGGGCAGGACTTTCAAAACGTATGGAGACTTGGGATTGCTAGAAGGAACACCTTGCCATTCAATGATGCTGTGCAATGGCATCTCTTTGCAGGGGTTGGACGCTCTGTGTGGTGCGAACTTGACAGAAATCATCGCTGTAAACATTGCTTGGCTGACATTGATGGTTACACCCTGCCCCGGGGCTTCCAGTCTGTGCACTTACCTGAGTTGCTTTGACCTTACCCGTGCACTTGTATGTTTAACACTGCTTGCAACCGAAGGTGAAGATTATACTTAAATGGTCAAAGATGACTCCAGGAAGTGTCCAGAGGTCTTTTTAAGCAAATGCCCAGGGAGTTGGGAAACTTTGACCTTTCAGGCCGCCTGCAGCATAGACTCAGAGCCAGCTTCATTGGGAGAAAAGGCGTGAACGCTCATAGTGACTGTACAAGAGATCTTTTGTTGATTTGTGCAGTATATGGTCTTCAACATTGCTAACCTGCAGGTGGACCTGCAATTTTTTCAAGCTGGGTTGGGCACGCGCTGACTCTCCAATATCCCAATAGACATGGCGCGCAACTGGCAAAGATTGTATCGTTCACCAGACTGTTGCTGCGCTCTCCGGCGCCATGACGACTTAGGAGGATATCAAGTTGATATCAGTTTCATTGTGTGACATATCTTCATCCAACTTAGAGCCAGATTGATGGTTAAGGATGACATTCAGCGTTCCTAAGACACCTGGAGACACTGGAGAGCATTCCCAAAGTGACCAATCACATAGCAAGCTTCATCATTTGCATGTCCCGGTCCCGCTCTCGCTCTCCAAAGAGGTCGCAGGTGCGTTTAGTTTTTGGAACATGTGCGAAAAGGAGCTCCAGTATGATTGCCCTTACTACGACCCTCTTTTCACAGGATCTGCCTCGTGAATTTGCGGATGGAGGCCAACAGTCGCACGCGCAGCGATGTTTGAACACAATCATGAGGCAGAATGGAATCAAAACTTGGCAACTGGGCTATGCTGAAAGCGCAGCAGTGCCTGTCCACAGTGTGAGGCGGCAGAAAACTGCTTTGTTGTGTGCCTTGGCGCTGAATTTCGCTTTTGACACTAATAATATAGAGCCTATGTGGAGCTCAGGTGTTGTTTGGCGGCCCTGCAAGTGGAAAGACCACGCTTGGCAGAGTCCTGACGATGCCCGACTGCAGCATTTCCGCAGCAGTGTGTTTTCGGCTTTGGCTTTTCAGAACGCCAGTGTTGGTAGATCCTGAGTCAACTTCCGAAAACACATGCATTAGCAATTATAAAGTATATATTCAGGTTGCTTCGCGACGATAACCATCCGTAGTTTTTGCTTTGAGAGAGATCATCCATATTGTGTAGTGTATTGTAACCACTCTATGTTTGACCCCCTTGAAATGGTACATTTTTCAGGGGATCCAACTTATATCCAACAATGCGTACAAATCGTTCATTATATCGCACTGCGGGTCTTATTATATATTGGATCATGTCTCACTGAAGCGTGCCACTTCATGTTCTTTACCCTGCACTCCCAGATCATAAGGCACGGCACTTCCAAATCAAAAACCTTGTACTTTCCCTCTGTTTTCTCCCACCACCATTTCCCCTCCAGACACACCTCAAGATGCCGGATATATATATATATATATTTTTGATATATATATATATAATTCCGTTCCCGAACGAAAAAGCACACCCCCAGCTAAAGCTGGAGCATTGCACGCACCCCAACACAATAACGCCCCTCACCTTCGGGGGTGGATTTCCACTTATGTCTTTCTGGCCTTTTGATACTGTATGATGCCGGTCTAAGGGCACGGCTACCGGGGTTCTGCCACATTTCTTGCGGTGACCTTGCACGACTTGCGACAGCTTATGTGGGCTCTCCATTCCTCAGCAGCATTGCCAGACAGCTGGCCGATCGCCGTCGGCGCAAAGCTGCATTCAGCCGCTTGACTGATGTTTTGCACAAAGTTATTGCCGAAGGCCTGCGTTCCACAGATGCAGTGGGAACCATCATTGATGGTTTGCGAGTTTCAGAGTTGCCTGCATTTGAGCAGGTGACGGGTTGTGATTTGATTGCGCTCATCAGCCTTTCCTGTCCACCTAGTGAGATGTTATCGCGATTGAGCCAAAGAGAGTGTCGAGACGGCGACGAAAGACTTGGCCTTGCAGAAATGGGTCATGATCATGCCAGCAGGGTGAAGGCTTTTCAAGAGCGAGAAGTAGTTGAAATTGAGCAGTTGAAAGGACGTGAGGCTTTTCTTCCACTCGATACTGGAGCTGGAAGTGTTGAGGAGTTAGCCGACAAAGTGTTGGGCTTCGCAGCACCATTGATGCAAATAGCCCGTGGAGCAGCTCCAAATAGGGAAGGCGTTCCGACTACAGTAGACTGGACAGCCCAACTAGCTGCAACTGCGGAAGACTTGGACCGGCAGTTCTACCCGGATGGAAAGCCTCGCAGCTCGATGAAAAGGGCGAGCGCCTGCGTGTGAGATGCAATGCAGAAGGTTGAACCCCAACATTTGACAGGCAGGTGCGAACGGGGCTTCCTTTCTGAGCCCAACCTTCTTGAACAACCATCAAAATTGCTGCCAGAGTCCGTATTCTCCATTATATTCAAAACCTTTATATACTGCCAGGTGCTTCGCGTGTGTGATAGCAACCCTTTCCATGTTGCATGCTTTGTAGTGATTGTAGTGTGTGGTGTGAGGCCACTGTGCAAGAAACACAACAAAAGGGTTTCAACAGAGTCCATTTTGCCTCCCAAAGAGTCCTCGTATGCTCAATTTTTGGCACCATAATGAATATGAAGCCGCTTCATGCTGCTGCATTTGCCTCAAGAATGCCATCCTGAGCCGTGTCGGGGGGCTTCGTGACCGTGTGCCAGCTGCGGAGCGCCACTCAACTGCAAACCGAAGTCATTTGGGTTTGGGTGCCACAGCACGATCTTCATAGTTCCTCAAAGCGCTGTGTGCGTGCAAGGCTTGCTGGCTCCCACTGGCACGCGCCACAGGCTGGCTTGAATAGTTACACTTTATTGTTTTTGCTCGACACCTGCGCAATTTTGGCAGGACAAGGATGGCCGTGTACTTTGCACGGGCCTTGCGAATTCAGTCACGTGCAGAGTGAAATTAGTGGATTTGTTGTCAGCATTTGCATTTGTGAGCCCATCTGCCATGAAGTCTCAGTCTCCCGGACAGATGAGAGACCACAAATGTGACCAGGCAGGCTTCAATGCCTGGAACTATACCACAAGGGGAAACTGTAGGGCCTGTAGGGGTCATAGAGTCATATAGAGGCAGCTTGGCTGAGCTATTGTGGCAGGATGAGTTGCCCCATCTCCCAGCTCAACTCAAATGCCCCGCAGACTCCAGGTCGCGATAGTTCCCACGGCAGGGCCTCCAACCTCGTGCAGTGTGCTGACCACCTGCCATGGAGCGTCCGTTGGTCGGAAAATCCGCCATGTCAGCTGGTCGTGCGCCGTTTTATGTGAGATATCCCAAGTGGACCAATGTGCAGCCTGGCTATCCATTCATAGTTATTAATGTGTGAATGTCGATGGATGATGATGGATGTATATATATATATATAATATTATTTGAAGAACACTTAACTACTGAACTTCGATTCTGGGCATGCCTGGGAGGCTGCTAGGCGCAATTCGTTTGCATTTTGTTTTGTGCATCTTTTTGGCAATTTGTTTTAAGAAGCACGTGGCATATTTTTTTTGCATTTCATTTGTCGCTCATGGTGCTCAAGGAAGTCGTCAGGACATACTTATAATTTACCCCGCACCTCACATTTCTTTGTCACACATTCACCAAATAAACCGGATTCCTCCAACACGGCCGTTGTATGCTTCTCCAATTGAATTGTCAAACTTGATATCATGATAGATAGTCTTACTTTTTGCAATAATCGCATTCTTGTCGAGCGTTAGTTGTTAAATTGGTTGCGCAACACGGAGCAACCGCCGAAGTGAGCAAGCAAAAAAGTTAGAAGGCACTAGGAAAATATTTTCACAGCAAGAGAGTATACATAAGACGTTGCAGTATATGTTTTGGGCCTTGGTCAGCTTTTCTCCATATGAGCGGTCATCTTGGTATTTGTTTAACATTTTTGGTTTTCCATGTGACTGGTTGTCGTATCGTACACGGTATCTTGAACTTTCTGCTGAGAATGTTTGGTCCTGCTTCTGTTGCCATCCAAGATTGTTTGCGGATGTTCGTTGGTCGTCCTTTAAGTTTCTCAAAGTGCACGCATACCCCACAGGCACCTTAACCCTAGATGCAAACGGCGCCCCTTCTTCTTCTCCTCCTACTGCTTCTTCTTTCTTCTTCTTTTTTCTTCTTCTTCTTCTTCTTTGGCCGCCACTAGTTTTGTGGCCCGGAATGCTTCCCAAGCATTTCTTGCATTTTCGCACACCAGATCCATTGGTCCATTGAAGAGATATTTGGTGGTATTCAACGCTGCTCGTTAATGAGCCATGCCATGCAATTGGTGACAAACAAGCACGTTTGCCACTTCAGCTGCTGCCAAGCATGGGCAGCTACTGGACACCAGCCAGTTTGAAAGTCGAGCACCCCGCCCAGACTCAAAGACAACCTTCATTGTAAATGGTTCAGCCTCATTCATCCCTTCAGATTTTCACCACATTCCTTCCTTGATACCTCAATGTCAAAGATTGAATCGCCTCTGTGTTGCTTCCTCCAAGAGAACCTTCACCGACATGCCACGAACAGTCACTCAGAAGACTTCGCTCGAATCGTGGTGGTGGTGCACTCCAACACCACCTGTGCTAGTGGACAGAGGGTGGACCGCAGGGAGCCCGAATTGAAGCCCGTCCCTTCAGCAAAGCGTTTGGAGCCTGTGCTTGTGAATACGAAGCCGTCCAAGTGCTTGTGGCCCAAACTGGTCTAAGTGTAGATTAAACATGTCAATCCTTTTGAGGAGGGAACATCTCAGAACTACTGTGTATACAAAAATTGCCTTTCTTTCCGTGCCTCCAGCCAGCATGCTTCAAGTGGCCTTTCATGTTTGCGGTTCATGCATGATTTGAACACTCCAGGTAGCACGTTTGTGGCACGGTTGTCCGTCGGGTGAGGTCACTCTTGCTCTTCTACGTGACGGCCGGGTTTGCATTCTTGACGATTCATGAAGGCTTGTGGCCAGAAACTGCAGTATATATGATCGCGCAGATCATCACAACAATAGGTTCGGGCCTTTAAAAGCTTGATCAGCAGAAGAAGTGTAGTGTCATGGATTGCTTGGACGTAATGCAAGAATGTCACAATTCATAATGTCGTTCTTTAAGGTTATGGTGATGCGGTTCGACCAAGCCCGCATGCTCAAGCGTTTTTGACTGTCTATGTCCTTGCTGGTGCATTGATTTTTACAAATGTGGCCTCAGATGCGGTGGACTTTATGTTCCTAGGATGCTACTAGTAGCAAGGACGCTATTAGGTGGAGGCCATCGTAAGTAGGTTGGAGACCATCACTACTAGGAACAAGAAGCTACTAGTAGCTCCTGGCATCG